AGCAAATATACGATAACACTAAGATCTACATTAGATGGTCGGTTTACACTGTAACTATGTGTTTGTTGTTGCCACGTGAAGGCATACTGTGGTCTGAATTATGTATGTGTGTAACCTCGATTCGGACACACTACTATCAGAAGCATTCTGGTTATAAACACAGAGTAATTCACAGAATATGATTATCCAAATGAATAACCAAGTAGAAATGAACGACCAATATTTCAGATTTGATTTTGGTCTGGCCAAAGGTCACTCATAAATAAATATACGGCATAGGTGAGTAACTAGTTGAAGTAGCCTAATTGAAGACAGCTCTTAAACTAAAATGTTTTCCGTTAAAACGCATTTCTCATTTCTTAGACTAATCTACTAGTACTAGACTGACTTTTTAAGGAAGTTTAAATAACCATAAAGGACTTATTTATTGTGTTATCGATTTTTTCCTGTTTATGTTATTGCATTATGTTGTGTAGCGTGTGTAGAAGCATCATCTGAATGAGCACAAGAATAATGTTTCTTTCTTCCTTTCTTTTTTTCTTTAAATGACGCAAAAACCATTTTGATCTTAAAAAAAACTGATAATGATTGTTGATAGTATCATGAATCTCGGAAAAGGAAGGAAAACTGCATCTGATGATATTTAGCTAAATACGATCAAACCTTTGATGATAATAAATTAATGTTTGTCTGTTTATTTGCTACATAAATCATTTAATTTAATCTTTGTAACTGTAACTATATTTAAAAGTATACACAATTTTAATTATATTTTCGATGGAATAAAAGGGAAAATAGTCTGATATTGAGGCGTACGTCGGGCATGGCCCGAATAGAGTTGTTAGCGACAGCCAGTAAACTAATAAAAAAGTACAAGTAATCTTAACACAAAAGGGTTAAAGAATTCACATCAAAATAATAAATGAATGCTTGATGTTATACCGTTCATACCGTATACGCAGACTTTTCCCACGGTAAGTTGACTGTGTGCTTGACTCTCCCCGCTCCGTCCCATCGCCTGTCCCCCTTATTGGCCTGTGTTTGTAGTTCAGTACGGGTTTAGCATTCAAAGCGGTATCAGCTCCCCCGACATTATACTTTCATATTTATTGCTAAAACGGCCCGTTTTACATAATACCTAGATGCAGATTTGGCTGTTGTATAAAAGAATAAGCGCAAGTTCCAAATGTGTGAGTTTTCACTTCAATTGGTTTAGATTGTAAAAATCTTTGTTGAAGTTATACTTTGATGAATAATAATTTTATATAAACCCATTTTTACTATTATCAGAATACGAGTACATAAAAGGGCGCTGAGACTCTTGTTATCAATTCTATTCAATTGTTGATCTTTTTTAAGAAGGTACGTTGCTCTGGTTCAGCTGCAAGGCTATTAAATATATCTTGTCCGAATTAATTGTAATAGATCAAAATAAAACATTCTAAGAATCGAACAAACAAGCCAAATGAGACACATTATTTATATAAATAAAATTAATTTGTAAGAACGCGCGGGGGAACGACACTGTTAGTCTCACACGTTATTTTCGTCGCCACCTTACGCGTCGACAATTATTCGGGAATTTCAAAAGATCACCCTGGAGTACGGGTCGTTGCCTTTACTGACTCATTCTTTTGTTACTCTTCACCGCAGATATAAGTTGTGTGGATGGTAGATAGAGCCAAAATTCCATCAGAATCATGTTAATACAAATCAATTCTTGAACATACATTTTAATCAATTAATGAATATAATTAATCTTTGTAAGAAGTACCATTTACTACCCCTTACAACGCGACATGAAATCGCTGATTGTATCCTATAAATAAAAAAAAATAGTAACTAAATTGACTTCTGTGAACTTTTATCTAAATTTAATATTAATATTCCGCTGACTGACCATTTGCATTGACAAACTATAAAATTATTTTGTTATTCGTGCAAATAGAAGCCTCAATAGTGTGTGTGAACAATTTGGTATTGATATTTTTAATGTTAGTTTTATCGGCAGCGAGGAGGTGTTTAAGCCTTAGATCCTCCATTGGTAATGGTGAGGGGTCCGAGTAATTATTGTTATGAGTCCTGTCTGTTTTGTGTGCATATTATTATATTCTGTGTAATTTGTAAGTGTATCTGTACCTGTAACATACATAATACTTGTTGATAATAGTATAGTATGGTCTTTATAGTCTTGTGCACTATAACTCTGATTTTTCTAAGTGTGGATTTGTAATTAGCTTTCTGTTTTCTTGACTGCCTTTATTCTAATCATCATAGCTATAAATCCTCCATAGTAATAAATAAATATAATAAAAGTTGGCATATTTCGTTCTGCTTAAAATTTATATTTAATTATAAGAACATATCGAAACAGTTAAAGTCATTGCCCTTTTTGTTTCTAATAAATCTAATATCACAAAGACTATGTCTGCAAAAACTTTTAACAGAGCAACAAAAAATGATAAAATCCAAAACATTCCATTAATATTCCTACGAGAGCATTTATCTGGCTGTTTGATATTTAGGTATAAACGTTAACATGTTTAGTAAGGTTAGATAAAAGAATTCGAAATTATTGAATTATGAGGATAATAGTAAGGACGAGAAAAGCTTGAGGCAGATCAATCACACAACCGGAACGGTAGGTCTGAATCGAGTAGCCACACGTAACATCGATCTGGCGCAACACGTACACGCCACGAGTAATTTGGATGTTGCTAATTATAGGTGCTATTGCGGTTATAATAAGATCCTCCCAACTTCCCAGAAACGAGGCCGGCACGCTTTATTAATATTTATCCGATACACGCCGAATGCTTCGGTCCCAAGCTAACTGACGCAGTCAAAGAAAACATGCTCGCCAGAAATAAAGTCGTAAAGTACCGGAACGATTTCAACCGATGTTTTGTGTGTATATCGGGTTATAAATGCGCAGAAAGTATCGATGGACTACCGATTGAAGGAAACATTCGCCCTTTATCGTCTCGATAGCGATCGCGTGTACGTTTTTTACTATCAACAGCGCACGTGGCGTATTAGCCTGTGACTTAACGTAATCATATTATTATGCAAACTGAGGATCTATTTAAAAATAGATTTATTAATAGTTAAAAATAAAAGCTCGGTGACCGAGAAAGATGTAACATTTCTGTAGGGTATGTGTTATGGACCAAGTGGTTGAAAGGCTTTATTAATATTATCCAGATAGTTTGAAATATTTTCATTTTAGGTGGGCAATATATGTACACAAAAACGATTGATCTAAACACCTGGCTGTATGAACAATATCCAGCAACCATGCGGCAGATTAATAAAAATATGTGTTATATTAAATTATTTAGGTGATAATATACTTAATCTGGATAAGTCTTAATATAACTTATCACATTGTACAAAAGTTATGTAGAATGTTATGTTATTCATTCCGGCTAGACAATGTGATAAGGGAAGTAGTTTTTATAAGTATTTATTATTGATATTGCCAGATTATTAAAATGGTGTAATGTTTAATGGCTTAGCTCATGTTATGCTCAATTTTGATGAAAAAGTACTCTGTCAATTTCCAAGCACTTATTTCATTGCACATTATTTTATATCACGTTTTATTTCGAAGTAGAGATTTTCAAACATTTTCTTTGATCTATAATTACGAAGTGTACCTAGAAAACGTCCTTTTGAAAACCAAAGGCAAAGCCTCTCTACTTCTCGTGAAAGACTATTTTCAGTAAAAAATTCTGCGAGGTGATCTATGAAGTATGTGACAGAGAGAATAATATACAATTATCTCATAAATATTTTCCAAGCTACTTATAACCTTTTCCAATAACTTCGACCATCTAATACTAACATGTCTTTGAATGAATGTTATTACTTTTTAGCGGTAATGGCTTACGACCAGACAGACTGTGGCGTTTGCCAAAATTATACACATTCAATTTGAAATGCAGGGTGAAAAATTGAGATCTCCAATCAGCAAATTGGACAAGCAAATGCTTGTTGCAAGAAAATTCTTCAAAGTGACATTTACAGAACATTGCCTGTCTGAGCGAGAACACACGTTTCATTTTTCTACTTTTTATATGATCTGAATAATAACAAAGAACAATGAAATAAACTTATTTTCTGAAACCAAAAATGATATAAGACGTAATGGGATTCGTAGTATAAAAATTACTCGTATATCTTTTTTTCTCACAATAATAATTCTTTCAAAAATTAAGTATAGTTATAATAAAAAGTTTATTGTGAAATTCACTGCATTTAGATCAATTTAATATTTCCTTGGGCTTCCGAAGAAGCTGTTTGCCAACATGCATAAATCTCAGACGAATATCTCATAGGCACGCAATAACTTTAGATATTGCGTGCCTGTGAGATATGCTGTTTAAAGTTGGTTACGAATTGCATATTTTAGCTTATTTCTTTTTCTTATCTTGATGAGATGTAATTTCGCGTTTTTATATAAAGCTCCTTCAATCCAATTTTTTTTTTTTTTAAAACAGTCTCAAGTTAGGCGATTAGCATTATTGGGTTTAGGGGCATAACGAGACTGTTTTTTTTTGTGATATGTATATTAAGTAGGTATAGTTATATATGTATGTGTTTGTATGTATAAATATGTGTTTATATGTAGTTATAAAATATATATTTATCTAACTTCACCTCTTTTATATTCATTAGCAATAAAACTGTCAAAACTCATTACACCTTCAACCACTACTGTCTCTCCGAAACGTTTTGATCCATGCTAAAGTTGCCTGGACGAAATTTCTCTTAGCAATAATGCCGCCCTATGTACATTACATGACTGACATATTTGATTGATTGTGTACCCTGTGTACTGTGTGTGACCAATACGGGAGCCACAGCAACACCTACAGTGCTAACAATTTAGGGATTGATTGCCTGAAACGCCACCCCCCCGTCTCGGAGCATTCGACTAAGAGTCAGCATTCGCAACCAATCCTCATCATGGGGTTTGAGGCCGACCGAGAGACCCTTTACCACGGATCACGCGCTTTTGCGATTGCCTCGCAATCAGAAAAGTTGATATCGAAGGAGATCATATCGCGCTTTACGCTGTTCTTAAACCTTAGCTTTGGATGGACCTGGCATGAGCTATTTCCCCTAGGAAAGTTTATCTTGGCAATACGATGCACATGTCCTAGCCAGCGCAATTTCTTTTGTTTTATAGTATAGCAGTTACGCTGAGCATCCTCGTTTTCATCCTTCAGAGACAGCGCATGTGGAAGGCGTTTAAACATCTCTCTTACCTAGCATACGATGTCCATGTCTCAGCTCCGTACAAAAGCACACCATTTTGTTTTTTTTTGTTGACAGGGTGGAAAATCCCTTAGGATCTCCTGCTCCTCGGGGACTATGAGCCAGGAGTATGTGGTGATTCCACTAAAATCTACCCCGACGGCCGGCCTCAGGTGTCCTACTCAGGGATGGACCCGGACCATGTTATTTCATGTCCTCCCAGAATTGACACCATGCCAAATCAGGCCCTATCCCAGGGCATCTTAATGCAATCAGGCCGGCCATTCCATGCCCTACCACAGCAATCAATTTGCCACCAGAGGTCCCCTCTCTGACGGCCTGCGGCCCCGTCGACGGCTGTTATCGGCGCCGACGTCCTCTACGTTCGGGATCGGCCCTCTCCCGATCCCGTTCAGCGGTCTCTTTCTGGAGCATTACAGCTTCACATAAAGAGACCCGCCAGTATGGCAGCAATAATTGCTGGCGGGGACAGGTCTCGTCCAATTTGGCCGACCATTACTTCTGTTCTGACACCCACGCGTGGCAGTCTTCCAGCGTGTGCTAGGCGGAGTCCCTGTTGGCTGCGCAGTGCTAACATTGTGCCGTCTCCTCGCGTCCGATACGATTCAGGTACTCACCGAAGCAACCATGCCCAGTGAGTACCTGCGTCGATCGGTAGGTGACGCGGCCTCGCTCCCTACCTACCCAAGCTTCGAGGCTTAGCAGAACGGTACCGACAGCGCCTTGGCACGCATTCCACGGTTGTTCCAGCCGCGCGCGCCACTGCACCAGTGCCTATCGGTGAGCGTTCCGCCGCATTTCGAGCTCGTCCCGGTCTTCCAAGCTCTCACCCCGGCGGATCGCGCGAGTCTGGTCGTAGACCCTTGCGTCCATATCCGCCAGAATATCAAAAGGACAAAAGCGCTTGTTTGATACACGATCATCTTGGTATTAATGGTCAGGTGTTTGTTGTCCCAAACTCTTGCACTAAGCTTTCCAAACATCGTAGCCAGGCAGGCAGGGCAGGCAGGGCGCCTATGCGAATGCCGATCACTGCGTCAAGCGAGAGATTGCTAGGCACTGTCGACTACAGGTAGCAAAACGATTCAACCACCTCCAGGGGTGTATGATTCAGCAGAATTGTAAGATCCTCTGCTCTATGTACACACCATCCATATCTATTTTCATTCGGTAAAAAGATCTCGCTAATATTTTTGTATTCCATCTAAACATTATTAACATAAAATAAGAAAATGAAAAAAAACAAAAAAAAAACACAATAGAATGTCTATCTAATCTGACTGCCTGACTATCTACAACGGGTGAAAAGCACTACTTCAGATTTATGTTAATGAAAAAGAGTATAAGAACTTCATGGGTGTTAGGATAAGTTTGACAACGCAGAAGGTACTGATTACATTTCTGTTATTAGTGTATACCAAACGACCATGTGCGTGTTTGTAAACCTATTGGTATCAAAAAGATGTCGCAGTATGTTTTAGATGCTACATGCATGTTTGTTGCAGTATGATTTAGATGAAAGAAGACATGGACCTATAGCAGAGTAGGGCACCCTCAGAAATGATGGGTAAAGTCGAAACCATTAAAATATCATTCAAGGAATTAAAAATTACTTTACTCTTAACATCCTGCTCAGTGAAGAAGTTCGGATGCCATTTGATCTAGCACAACCACTTTTTCCTGAAGTCAATAGAGTTTGTTTGACTGTGTGGATGTAAAATGATGAACAATAAAGTATTGTAAACTAATCTGCATAGATTGCTTTACAATAAAGTGTAATGGACCTAGAGTGACAGTGTAATATAGTCTGGGTCTATTACCGTCTCTTATGAAGATGAAAGAAGAGAAAAGAGAAAGATGAGAAACGAATAAAAAATGCTATAAAAATATTAATACTTTGAATTTGTACAATACTTACTGAAAAATAGTAAAAGTGTGCGGGGCAAAAAGTGTCTCGAAAAGCGCACAGTAGTGGAGCGCCAAGTATCCAGGTAATGAGGATGAAAATTTTGTCGTGTGGAACGATGGCGGAAATTTGCGGCTGGTTTTAGTTGGAGATGTTTGGGCTATCGACGATTCGAGTCACTCTTCGTTGGATGCGGTCCAGAGGGAGAAGCTGGTGCTGAGGTGCCCCTGCATAGAGATGAGAACAGTATTCCATATGCGGCTGGACTTGCGCCTTATAGAGCTGAGGGCGATGGGCCGGAGTGAAATACTGCCTTGATCTGTTCAGCACACCGAGCTTCTTCGAGGCCAATTTGACCTTACCCTCTAAGTTACCCCGAAACTGGACTTAGCTCGATATGTCGATGCCTAGGATTCCGATGTTGGCTGACGCAGTTATTGAGGTGTTCTAAGACTGAGGTGATACGACAAATGGTATCTTTTTTGCGGTGAACGCACAGACCGTACAGAACGCACTGAAATACTGTAAAGTCCAACAAATAGATCATCATCATCATCATCATCATCAACAGCCTTTAATAGTCCACTGTTGGACATAAGCCTCTCTTGAGAAAGGAGGTTTTGGCCTACTATACCACACTGGCCAGACGGGTTGGTATAGGGTTTGTGTCAAGTTTTCCTTCTCTCTGCAGTGCTGTTGTCCTGCGTAGTTTTTTCCCTTAGTCGGCTCTTACGACACCCACGGGATGAATAGGGGTGGTGACACTCTGTATTCTTAATCCGTCACCACACGGACCAACAAATAGATATAAAACTTTTATTAAATAAAAGTTTTATATCTATTTGTTTTTTTTTACATAAAGCCTTATTGATCTTTATTATTATATTCGGTCTAAGAGTAAAATGCATTGATTATGAGATCATATCATGTTGAATGACGTTATGATCTACTAATAAATCTTAATTCCAATGTTAAATGCGTTAGCCAAAACCGAATTGAAGTATTAGAGCTTGCGTTGTTTCAGTCTAACCGCAGCTCACAAGGACTCCATTTATATCCTATTCACCTGTATAAATCAAAGTAGATGCACTCTAAATGTTTCATGATTGATGTATGTGCTGTAGGTATTACGTATATTATGGAGGTTTGCGGTTGTCGGACAACGGACGCTGGCTGGCCACTCGCCAATACTTTGGCCTCAAATTGATTTTGCCGCTGCTGTACCAAAACTCTTTTGCTCCCGTTGCATGCATTAGAAGTGTTAATTAATTTTCAGTCAGTGAAGTGATTAATCAATAATAGCTAGGTTGAGTTGTTATTGTGAAGATAGGAACTAGATAGTTTAGATTTTAAAAAAATGCTTAAGCCTATCTGTTTCACTATTTTAGTGCAGACCGTATAAGAATGAATCAAGAGACTTATCTTAACCCAAGTTATATTTAGCGATGTTTTGCATGATGAAATAAAAATAATTCGTATAAATGGTTTTAGTTTTTAATGAGTTATGCCAGGAAACTTAGCTGTCGGCTAGCAATAATTCTTGCAGGTTTGAATTGTATTTGTCATCCATAGGGCAGTTTCACCTAGTGCCTCAGTATAACGCACAATATTGTACTCGCCAATACTTTGGCCTTAAATATTTAGCAATAAATTATTTTTCACCTATTTATTTATTAAAATATTGTGCTCTTGGTTAGACCACAACAAATACTAGAAAACAGACTACATTTAATGTAGGTGGAAAATAGTAACTGATTTTGCATATTTGTAAAAATGCTACAAAGAAAGACAAATAAACGCATCTTTAAAGTAAATTATGATATACTTGGAAAACTTATCAGCTGTACTAGCATTGTCGTAACCTAAGACCCGTTGGAAGCCTGGCTTGTCGCCAGGTTACTTTGGTTTAAATTGCTTTCACCCCTCTCCCAATTCGCATGCTTTTTGGGAATATCTTTCTTTTTATGCTGACCTGGACTTAAGGCGATTGTTGTATTTGTTCATGATATTTAGATCTTTGTTGTCTCGTAAGTGCATGGCATATGCGTATCATTAGAAGTAACTGCTTACTTGTCTTAATATTTAAAATTACCTGTAAATTATTTTGAATATCATCATCATCATCAACAGACTTTAACAGTACACTGCTGGACATAGGTCTCGACATAGGAGGTTTAGGCCTACTATACCACTCTGGCCAGACAGATTTACAGGGTTTGTTTCAAGCTTTTTTTCTCTTTGCAGTGCTCTTGTTGTGGAGAATTAGCTCCCTCGGTCGGCTCTTGCGACACCCACGGGCTTAACAGTCACCACACGGAAAATTTATTATTGAAAGCTATTGGATAGTTTATAATTCCGTTCACTCGTTAGTTAAATTCAATACCATTTTGCTGACTTTTACAATAACATCTATGATGGCACTTATGATTACCAAACTCGATAATGAGCTCAAATTGAAATCAATACCGATCAAATTTAAAGATTATCATTAAATAGGTTACTTTCGAGAATACAAACTACTTGTGTAACAAAATCAGAAAGGAATAAATATAACTTAAGTTGGTTAGAGCATGCAGGCTGTATGTATTGGTGCTCTCCGGGTGTCGTAGCAAGCTTATTTCTACTGGCCGCTTGCCAACAGTCTCCGCTTGAAATTGCTTTTGCCGTATAACGTACAGATGATACCGTAGTACTGCATATAATACTTGATCGTGATAAACGCACCGCTATCCACATGTGAAGACTAATATTGTAAAATGTTTAGTGCTTCTGAATCTGTAGCCTTCGAGTAACTTAAGTACTATAAAACTATAAAAAGTTTTGTTACTGATTAGGAATAGTCCCCGGTATCTGGTGTTATACCCCGGATCAAATCCCAATATTTTTATCGAGATTTGGATAGTAGTTATGGGAGGCAAAAATCTTGTGATAAAATCATTGCATTGAAATAATGATGTTTATGTAATTCGAAAAGTATTGGGTGTAGTAGTTACTTTATAGTATATAATACCAATCAATTTGAGTTCATTCCATTCTTATATTATATTTATCAGTTTATCCATTGCACATTGCCAA